AGTCTCCGAAACCAAAGGTTGGCAGCGTGGCGGAGTCTGCACGCCTTGCAGCGCAGCGCTCGGAGGAGGACCAGGCATCGATGCCGCTGCTCGTCTTGGAGAGCCTCGTCGCCAGGGCCGAACTCTCCTCGAAGTTTTGATCGGAACGCACCCAGGGATGGTTCCTTGGAGCAGCGGTATCGTTTTTCCTTGTTCCCCCAAGCGCGTTGCACAATTGCCAAAAGATCCGCGGCCGTGTTTTTTTGGGGACGATTTCGGCCTCTGGGTGCCCTGAACGGGCCCCGGGGCCGTTAGAAGGACTCAGGACGAGAAAAGCCGGCCCCCGGGAAGTTGCCCAGACCTCAGGGGGGTCCATGCCCCGATCGTCCAGGCCTCCCAGATGGGGTCCGAGCAGACGGGGTCAGAGGATCGCGCCGCATCGCCGATGCATCGGCAATGCAGCTCGATGTGGGGTCCGAGTTGCTCCACGCCAACGTCGCCGATGCGTCGCCGATGCCTCGCCGATGCATCGGCGATGTGTCGGCGATGTGGCGCGATCCTCCGACCCCATCTACTCGGACCCCATCTGGAAGATCTGTAGAGACCCTGGCGTCGCATTTTTGTTAGCAACCGGCGATCTCGCCCTGTTTTCGGCCCCAGGGACCTCAGAGATCGATCGGGCTGGAGAAATGCCGCAGAAAGATGGATGGCGCCCAGAGCCTAGGGCTCTGACCGTGATTTCGGACTTATTCTTTTTCGCGAGACGTCGGATCTCATGGGGAGGTCACCACCACGGGGGTCACCAGCTCCCCCTGAGGATCGCTCCAGGATCGAGCCTCGAGGACTTTTTTGGACGTTCGGAATCGATTGGCAGGGGCTCTGGAGTGACTTTGGGGCGCCTCCATTCGCCCGCGGAAGTGTCCTTTCCTCTAGGACTCGATTGCACGTGAGAGTGATTCTACGCCGGAGTGACCTCCGGTGCCCACCCAGAGGGGCCCCCGATCGCTGCACGCGATGCGATGGCAGCGGCCTGCGCGCTTGGGTCTGGCTGCCCCGCGCCCCCCACAAGCCGCGCACCAGAGGCCACTCCTGCCTGGGGTCACTCTGCTCGTGCAGCCGCAGGAAGGTGGCTCCCCCCTGTGGTGCCGACCCCCCTCTTCCTCTTCTGCCTCCCCCTCCTCCTCTTCTGCCTCCACCTCCTCCTCCTCCTCGTCCTCCTCCTCCTCGTTTTTCCACTCCTCGTCCTCGCCGTCCCTCTCCTCTGCGGAGGCCAGGGGCGCCGGCGGCGAGCCCGACGAGGCGGAGCTGCGGGAGCTGTGGCGCGGGGCGTTCGAGGCCGAGGCGGCGCGCGGCGAGGGCATCGGACTGCTGGCGGGCGGCGCGGCGGCGGCGGCGCCGCCGCGCCCGGCCGAGGGCGCGCCGGCCGCGGAGTGGCAGCGCGCGTACGAGGCGCTGAAGCAGAGGCCAGGGGCGTGCAGGTGGTCGTTTCCTTACTCCAGATGTCGTAATAAAAGGGAGGGGGTCTGGACCCTCCAAAACATCGTCCCCAGACCCCCCCAGGCCCTCCAAGATAGCCTGGAAGAGACCCCCCCCGAAATGAGACCCCCCTACCTTTATTACGGACTCTGGAGTACTCATTGTGTTGCCGGTCGGCGCGAGCCCACGTGCCCCGCCCCCCCCCCCCCTCCCCCCCTCCCATGGCGTAGGTCTTGGCTGTTTGGGGCGCCCGTCTCGAGCAAGGGGGGTCTCCCCCACAGGACGCACTTCTGCAAACCGTCGCACGAAGCAAAGCAGGGGTACGGAGCCAGACCCACCCACGCTCCCCCTCCCCCTTCCGCACAATGTCGAGGCGCCGAATAAGAAAACGCTCACCAGAGGGCAAGATGCAGCGGTAGTTGGCCTTCGGGGGGGCACCTCGTTGTTCGAGGAAGCGGCCACAGTCGGTAGGAGCAGGGTGGTGAGAGGGGGGTCTCTTTGGGGCGACGGCGAGGATTGAGGAAACGAGCACCTAGGAAACGTCGAAGGAGGTGAGGGCGAGCGGCGGCGAGCGAAACGAGACGAAAGTAGAGGGCTCCGAGCTCCAGAGTCCAGAGCACAGCTGCGCACGAGAGCAAGAGACACCCTGCTCCCTCCTCGGTCGGGGCTGGACGCAACTCGGAAAACCAGCACGCCTGGACCCAGGGAGGGGTTCAGGGACCGATTGCAAGCTGCCGTTGCCTCAACTCGCCCTTTCGACGAGAGAGGGGTAATGACTGGGTGTGCGTGTGTGGATATCATGGCCAGGCCGAACGAAGGGAGTGGGGAGGGGCATAGGGGGAGGAGGGGGACAGGGGGAGGAGGCGGATGAGGAGGAGGAGGAGGAGGAGGAGGAGGAAGAGGAGGAGGGGCCGTGACATCTCCTAGATTTCGTGGCCCCTCCTCTCCTTCAACGCATCCCCTGGCCCCCACTCATCCGCGCACGTGCCTCGGGCAACGATGTGCACCCCCCTTTGCCTGTCCCCCCCCATCGTTGCCCCCGACCCCTCGCCCTCCTTCCCCTTCCCGCGGCTGTCTGTCTCTCCCTTCCTCCTCCCCGCGGTCGTCTGTCTCTCCCTTCCTCCTCCCCGCGGTCGTCTGTCTCTCTGCTTTTATCTCGGGCGAGTGGGTGGGCGGGCCCCACCCCCCTCGCCGGCGCACCCGAAGAGGAACCAGGAGGCCGAGCTGGCGGCCAGGCAGGCGAGGAGCCAGGAGGCCGAGCGGGCGACCAGCGAGGCTCGCGGGTGACGACGTCTGTGGGGGAATGAGCTTCGAGGTCGTCGGACGTCTTCGTCGGTTCCGGGAGGCTGCCCAGCCTCGGGACGCCCCCATCATTCGGGGGCGGTGCCCGGATCGGCCTGAGCGGCTGCCGGAGGCCCGAGTGGTGATCCGAAAACTAGGGGGCAGCGTTAGGGGGAGGGGAGTAATTAGGTCCAGGGGGATGCGTCGACCCCCAATCGCCCACTACTCGCCGACATGGGCCCGCCAGCCCGCCCCGCCAGGGAGCGTGCGGAGTCCCTGTCAGGGGCCTGCATCGCCGATGTGCCGGCGACGTGCTGCCGATTCCAAGTCGATCTTTCCCCCCTGAGCCAGACGATTGAGAAATGCCTTCAGGAGGGGAAACAGCACACAGACACAATTGATCGTCGATGCCCAAGAAAATATAGGAAAGTATGGGAATTGGCCGGGAAGGCGAAAACCCAGAACATATGCGAAAATATTGGAAGAGAAAAACCCAGAAGAGCCGACAGAAAAGCGGAGGAGGAGGAGGGAGAAGAAGAGAGACAGGGAGGGAGGGAGGAGGGAGGGAGAGAAGGAGGAGGGGGAGGATGGGGAGGGGAGAGGAGGAGGAGGAGGAGGAGGAGGAGGAGGAGGAGAGGAGGAGGAGGAGGAGGAGGAGGAGGAGGAGGAGGAGGAGGAGGGAGGAGGAGGAGGAGGAGGAGGAGGGGGAGGAGGGGGAGGAGGGGGAGGAGGAGGAGGAGGAGGAGGAGGAGGAGGAGGAGGAGGAGCAGGAGGAGGGGGATCTTTTTTTTTTTGTGTGTGTGTGTGTGTGTTTATTTGTGTGTCCTTGGGCCCCTCGATGCCTGGAGGGGTCGCCGCGCCCCGCCCACTGGGAGTCGACGATCAAGGAGATCGTTCAGGAGGGGAAACAAAAGCACACAGACACAAGTCATCCTCGATCCCCTGGAAAACATGGAAAAATATGGAACATATGGAACATAACGGGAAACAGATGGGAAACTATGGTACACATGGGAAATACAAAACTATTAAAGTAATCCGCGATTCCCCAGAAGATACGGAAACATATAGGAAGTTGGGTGAAGACAGAAGCCGAGAACATATGGTTAAATATCGGGAATCCAGTCATTTGTGTGTATTTATTTGTGTGTCCCAGGGCCCCTTCAATCTTCTCAGTCTGTCGTCGTCGTCGCCGCCGGTGCCGCCGGGCCACAGCCAGCGACCCATCCAAGAAATCGTGATCTGGTTGACCGTCCCTGCCTGGTTTGTTTTCCAATCGCTTGGTCGCATCACCGTTCGCCCCCCCCCCCCCGTGTCCCTCGTCTGACCCTCCCCGTGCCCCCAGACATCCGACTTCATGAGCAACAGCGCAGCATCGTGAGAAGAGCCTGCCGCACTTCTCGCCCCGCATCGGTCCGTGAGGATCCCCGGGCCCGAAACGAGGCAAGACGATGCAAGACACCGGCCGTTGCGAACAACAGTGCGACGTGGCGGCGAGCCCAGGAGGGGAAGTGAGAAGGGGCGGGCCTCCTCAGCAGGCTCGGCAGTCCCCCGGCCTTCTGAGAGGTGTTCTAAGCCCCTGGCATCGCTCGGACGTGTGTATTTTTTTCTCGGCGAGGACCCCTGAGGAACATCCTGGATCATCGAGCGAAAAAAACACGCACGAAACCAACAAAAAAATGCACGGGAAATGGACGTCCGAGCGACGGCAAGGATGCCCATGCCGCTGCTCGCCCCGGAGAGCCCAGCCCTTGCCGCCAGTGGCGACGAGGGCTCTCTCCACGGCTGGAGTCTCCTCGAAATCCCGTGGCGACTCGCCACGGCTGGATGCTCCTCGAAATCCCCGTCAGAGCGCTCCCTGGGCGACCCTGGGAGCAGCGTCGGGGGCGGAAAAGAGGGGGGTGATGACTAGCTTGGCCGCTGCTACGTGCTCCAAGGCTCGGAGGAGGACGAGATGCTTGGCATCGCTCGGACGTGTACATTTTTCTCGGCGAGAACCATCGAGGACCATCCTGGATCATCGAGCAAAAAAAACACGCACGAAACCGAAACATGCACGGGAAATGGACGTCCATGCGACGGCAAGAGCCTTCCCCGAAGACACAGAGAGCCTCTCAGAAGGCGCGAGGGCTTCGGACAGCCCCCGCCGCCTCCTGAGAAGGCCTTCTCCTCCTCGCTTCCCCCCCTCGCCCGCCGCCGAGCGGCACCAGGATGTCGTGGCCGCTGCTTCTCCGGCAGGCCCGCCCGCCCCCCGACCGCCCCTCCGAGGCGGCCGCGCCGGCGCCGCAGGAGGAGCCGCCCGCGGTGCGGCCCGAGCGGGTTCCGCGGCCGCGGCCGCGGGAGCCGCGCGGGCCCGCCGTCTGGGGGCGCCTGAAGGCGCCTCCGAGGGGCAAGGGGCAGTTGCAGGGGAGGCCCATGCCAAGAGACGCCCTGCTTGCCTCCACCTCCTCCTCCTCCTCCTTCTCCTCCTCCTCCTCCTCCTCCTCCCTCCTCCCTACTCCTCCTCCTCCTCCTCTCCTCCTCCTCCTCCTCCTCCTCCTCCTCCTCCCCCTCCTCGTCCTCCTCCTCCTCCTTCCCTTCTCCACCCCTCCCAGACACCCACCGACCGTACAGTGGAAGCCCCTGTCAAGGAACACCCTGCTTGCCTCCAGGGTGCCCTGGGTTTCTTGGGTTCCGATGGCGCCGCCATGGAAAGTGTGACGTTCCCACACTAAAATCGACGACCGTCCTGGGGTCTCAGGGCTGGGTTTCTTGTGGAAGGTCTCTTGTGGTCGGGCCCCCACAATAAGAGAGAAAATCCAGAGGCTTGCAGGTCGGACCGAGGGTGTCAGATCGAGGTCGGTTCGGGGAGGGTGACCTAACGCTCGTCGTGCTTGTCGAGGGGCAAGGGGCAGTTAAGAGAGCAAGTCCAGAGGCTCGCATGTCGGACCGAGGGTGTCAGATCGAGGTCGGTTCGGGGAAGGTGCCATCACGCTCTTCGTGCCTGTGGGGTGCTCTTGTGCACCCTGGGGAGGGTACCCTTGGATGTTCTTCTTGTTCTGGCCGACGGAGGGCCTCATTTTCTTGCAGGGTGCTCTTCTGGCCCACTTCAGGTCCGACTGCAGTTAAGAGAACAAATCCAGAGGCTCACGCCATTCCGCCGACCCCAGTAACAGGTGACATTTGGTGCGGGAGCGCCGGGGTCCCCCGAGTGCGGGAGCCGATGCGACCGACAGCACTTCGGCTCCCCAACCGCCCACCTGAAGCCGCGCACCCAAAGGCCACTCTTGCCTAGCATTCTCCTGCTCCTCCTCCTACTCCTACTCCTACTCCAGCCGTTCTGGCCCAAGTTTTTGGGATTGCAAGTGCCGTCTTCAGATATAGTTGCGGGATCTCAACCCGACGTGCAGTTTGCGGGATCTCACCCCGCCATCCAGTGCGTTCCCGAGGGAGCATTCATGGTCGATCCAGATGTCCTGCCAGGCCCGAGGGAGCCCAAGTGGGGATGTCATGCGTGCGGCCGCAATGCGTACTTCGCGTGCCGCATCAAGTGCCTGTGCGGACAGAATGCGCCACGCAGCGTCGTCGACAGGGCGAAGAAGCATGCGGAGGAACACAAGCAGAAGCTGGCTACCAATTCGGATGGCAGTGGCATGCAGCGTCCTCAGCGTGGTGACGGTCCTCGTGGGGCTCGCGGAGCTGACCTGGGCATCGCCAAGCAGATGCAGCAGCTCCAGAAGCAGATGGAGCAGTTCACCAAGCAGTTCCGCCAACCTGCACCGACGGGCGGTGGCGGCCAGCGTCAGCAGCATGATGCCGCGGCCAACGCCGACGGAGTCGCTGCCCCTCAAGGTCTGGATGATGGATCTGAGAAGTTGCTCGCTCGTATCAAGTCGCTGGAGGGCACACTCAGTTCGGTGCGCCACGGCGACGACTTCCCCACGACAGTCAAGGAGACGCTCGAGAAGGAGCTCAAGGACACCAGGGCCTTGCTCAACAGCCAGAAGCCAAGCTTGGCCAGGCACACAGCTTCCGGGCACAAGCTCAAGCGAGTTGAGCAGAAGCTTGACAAGCAGAATGATCATATCAAAGTTCAGGAAGCCCTCATTGCGGCGGCCCAGGAGGAGCTGGTCGCCATGCGTGAGAAAGCCCGTTTGTTGCAGGTGAAGGTCGAAGCTACCAGTCGAGCGGCAGGAGACCATGTCCAAGGTCGTGCCGCCTGTGGTGCCGTCCGTCGACCTCGATGCCCAGACTGCCCAGAACGACCCTGAGATCCATCAGCTCATGGCGTCGCCAGTCTTCGGCAAGTACAAGCAGCTCCTGGAAGCGCAGATGCAGGCTGAAGCTGCCAAATCACCTCCACCTGCCCCCCTACGGCTCAGCAGCCAATGGGGCCGGGTGGGGAGAATGCGCGAACGCCATCTGGTAAGGATCTGGACGAGTTGGATGAGGAAGGGGTCGAGAAGCTCATCATGGCAGCTCGCTCCGAGGGTCCAGGTCACAAACGTGCGTTTGGGGAGTTGGTCGAGGCATTGGGTACCAGGGCCAAAAAACCGAAGTGTGGGTGACACTATGTTTGAGCGTCCAGCACCCAAATATTGTGGGATACCTCTCTCCTGCGCAGGCGCCCCCGTTCCACCTCTGACAGGGGCGCCGCTCAGGCCCAGTGATGGTGCCAGTGTTCAGTACCGAGTGGGAACGTTTTACGGTTCAAGCTGGCCTACTTTCAAACGTCGTCTTCGCGAGAGAGGCCAGCAGTTCTTTTATGTGCTCAAGAAGTGGGCACCAGCGAAGCCTTCATTGGCAGAGTCACTGCCATGGCACGCAGCCTCGGTTGGCACGCGCTGTTCGCGCCCAGCTACCTCAACCCCGACACAGGTAAGAAGTCCGCGGGTGCGGCCGTCGTCGGGAGGCTCAGCATCGGCCTCAGGTGGCCGCCAGAGGGGGACACACCGATAGCTCCGCACAGGCTCATGAAGGTTCTCGTGGATTTCCCTGGGTGGCCCACCATATCGCTCTTCTCGGTCTACCTCAAGTCTGCGGAGGGCCTCGGCGATTTCAACCTAAGTTTGCTTTCCAACCTGGGTCAAACGGTTACTGATCCTACTCACTCGGCTATCGCAGGGGACTGGAATATGACCCCTGAAGTTTTGGAAGGCTCTGGATTCGTTCGCAAAGTGGGCATGCTCCTCATGCCCCCCCACAGCGCCCACGTGTCGAAGCCCCGCCTTGAGTTCGATCCTCGACTACTTCGTTCTGGGGGCAGGTGTTGCTAGATTGATTTCAGGCGTTCAAGCAGATATGCAGTGGGATATTAAGCCACACCGCCCTCTTGTCATGCAAGTGCGCCCTGACGCACTAAGTGTCAATCAGTTGATTTACCGCAGCTGGGTCAAGCTGCCCACCGCCTTGCCGTTTGGACCATGTCCTGCACCTGGGTGCTGGGCTGAGGCCCTCCATCAGGCTGCCCTTGCCCAACGCAGTCCTGCTGATGAGGCATGGGCGACCTTGAATGCCGCATGGACCACCTTCATCGATTGCGCTGAATTGGACCTGGTCCGTCTCCTAGGGGTCGAACCCAAGGTCCTGGGACAGCGGGGAAACACGATCAAGGCGTCCTGGGCTCCCGTCTCCTATCGTCCCAAGCATGCCGACAACCAGCTCCAAGTTTGTGCTGGTTGGCGATGGCTATACCGCGCGTTTGCCGAGTTTGCGCAGTCCACCGTCGGCCTGGCAGAGGGCGAAGCCCAGACCACGGTCCTGCCGGTGTCTCTGCAACTCTCCTGCCCAGGGGAAGGTCTCAACATCAGACTCGATGCGTCGTTGAAGGAGATGCGGACCCTGGCGGCCGAATGGCGCTTAGACCATCCCCAGATGCAGGAGTGGCGCGATAGAGCAGAGTATTTTTTGGGTATGCTTCAGGAGGACCTCACTGATACCAATGACATAGGGGAGAAGCTCCATCAACAGTCTTGGGATGAATGGCAACAGAAGTCTCTGTCAGGCTCCGCAAGGCTCATGCGCAGGTTCACCTATAGCTCCAGCGGAAGTGGCAACCCACTACAACCCAGATAGCTCCAGGTATTTGCTCCTCGGACCCCGTCAAGCTCCTCGAGGCTGAAGCTGCCCAACTCGGAGGCTTTTGGAAGGCTCAGATTACCCCGCCAGAGGCCTGGATCCCTGATAGGACGTGTTTCAATAGAGCTAGCCCAAATCAGATCCGCGAGGCGTCGGGATCCTTCAGTGCGCACACGGCCCAGTCGCTTGACGGCCACCACGTGCGCCACTTTAGTCTTCTCAGTGATGAAGGCTTGCGCGTGATGGCAATTTTGTTCGAGGCCGTCGAAAGACTAGAGATGTTTCCCATGCAGTTACTATGGATGCTGCTACCGCTGCTCGAGAAGCCCAAGGGAGGTCCACGACCGATTTTGCTTCTCGCTGCATCCGCTCGAGTTTGGCAACGTTTACGCCGACCTGAAATCGACGATTGCATGACCCGATCCCATCGTTCGCACTGGTCGTTTGGCGCAGGACAGTCGTCAGATGCAGCGGGGTGGCAGCAGCGCGCGTTGGCTGAAGAGGCCCAGTCGCTAGGTCTGGCCACGGCTGGCTTCACCTGGGACGGGATGAAGTATTGCGAATCGTTCAGGTTGCCGTGGCTCCGTGTACGTGCCGAGTACTGGGGCGCCCCTCGAGTGTTCACCAAGACCTTCTACAACCTCTGGAGAAGCCCCAGGATTCTTCGTCTGGGCTCCTACCATACCCCTCTTCCCCAGTTTGCGGTATCGGGGCTCCCTGCAGGAGATATATAACGTTGTTTTCGTCAAAGTCTACGCGATGTTTGAGTTTGATCAGTTTGCGATTCGGAACCCTCAAGTGTCCCTGGGGTCCTACACCGACGATAACACAATTCTTTCTTTCGGCAATGAAGATACCATCATCCCGAAGTCAGTCACGGCTGCCGCCGACACGCAGTGCATTTTTCAGCAACGGCTGGGAGTGCAGCTAGCCGCTGATGCGGCATCGACGTCTGCACCATCCAGCACGGCGGCCGCACGGCTGGCCAAGAAGTTGACACCTTTTTGCCCGTCGCTCGCCAGTACCTCCACCGTCTCCCTGGGCTGCGACTTGGCGCCAGGACAGAGGAGAGCTTGCAAAGGAGGCCGTGCAAAAAAGGAGAGCCAGCTTTCCAGGCACGCACAAGAACAATCGTTTCCTTCGATCTGTGCGAAGACAATTCCCCAGGGACCGATCGCGGATGAGCAAGATTTATATCTGCGGGATCAGACCGTATGTTGGATATGGGTCCATGGTCCTGGGGTTGTTCCACCAGGAGCCCAATGAGCTTCGCAGTGTTTTGCTTTCTGGTTACATATCAGGCATTGGAGGAACCTTGAGGCTCAGGGTCTTCGATTGGGAGCTTCTGAGTGGCGAAACGCTCGGGGACCAGGTCATTGTATGCTTCTGAGCTTGGAGCGTATTGGGTGGAAAGCCCGTAGTTTTCACATGTGGCAGGATGACCGCGGGCATGTGATAGACCTCATGTATAACAGCCCAGCTATGATAGCCAGCATGTTGCAGTTAGGAGTCCAGAGATCCCACGAGCGACGTCTCGCGGCGAGCCTCCCCTCCTTCGTGCGTGTGCGCGTGTGTGGACCCGCTCCGCTCCCTCCTTCGATCGAAGCGAATCACGCCGCGAGCCAAGTACTGGATCTACGCCTGTTGTTCTAACGGCTGTTGGACAGCCGACCGCCTCCAGGAATCAGGATATATTTTCAGATGGCAAGCGCCCGAAGGGCGGGCAACCCGATTCGCTTTTTCATCGCCAGTGGCTCTGTAATGGTCATGCGGTAGCCGAGGCCCGCAGCGAAGCCTTAGCTCCAGAGATCATTGAAGCAGCACGCAATCGTGAGCCTGATGCTAGACTTTTCTGGACTCGTTTGATGATGGCCCAGCCCGGTGTTGACTCATTCCCCCCTCCTGCGGCCAGGACCGACCTCCTCGTCCAGGATCCTGATGGGCGGGCGTGGTCTTTCGAGGAGCTTGTTAGACTAAGCGAGAGCTGCGACCTCGTGGTCGACGGCTCTGCGACCCAATGCCCCATTCTAGAACCCAACCGCGCTGCTTTTGCGGGCGTTTATTTGGAACCAGGGAGGACTCACCAGGTTCGGACCCGTTTTTAGGCCCCCGTTTGGCCCGAGCTCAATCAAACGCCGCAGGCGGCTGAAAACCTCGGTCTTGCCACGGCCTGTGCTTTCAGCTCGGGCATGCGTTCCCTATTTAGTGATTGCATGGGGGCGGTTCGCCTGCACAATTTGTCGGATGCGGCCCAACTCTGCCCGAAGGAGATGTTTGCAGGCTTCCGCCGCGCCGCCCAGCAGGGGCATGGCTTTGACGCCCTCGGAAAAGCTAGCCACACCCCTGCCCACCGCTCGGACGATGTGATCCAGGCTCTGCCCCCTGATCAGAGGCGAATAGCTTTGGCTAAACAAGATGCCGACCGCCTGGCCGAATTCGCCCTCTCGCTCCATCCTCAGCCTGCACCTGCTGATCTGGAGATGTTGGATAGGCAGGTGCAGACCATTCGCTCGTGTGCTAAGATGTTCGGACGGGTGCTTTCGCTCTTTCCTGAGCTGCAGTTTGAGCGACACCCTCCAGAGCAGCGTTTGCCTCGTGTGCCGCCTCCCCTTGTCTGGCATGAATGGGAGGAGCTGGAGGGTGAGCAAAGCGCACACCGCTGCAGCAAATGTTACATGATTTCGTTCGGCGGCGAGTCCCGACCTATAAATGGTTGTGCTGGGCTGTCCACCGCTCTCAAGCGCCCGTCGGGAGCTGAGAGCGAGAGGCACCATAAGTTGAGAGTTACCACGCTGAGCAAATCTCTGAAGCCGTTGATGTTCTGCTACGCCCGCGGTGCATACACCAGCAGGCGATGTTACCTTTTTGCCCAGGATTGCCCGCAGATGTTAGGGACCCATGGCGCAAGTGTGCTGAGTCGAATCCAGATTGGACTCCATCCTCATTACAGGAAGAACCCTGAGGGCGTGGAGACGGTGGCGCCTGCCAGAGCGCCGCCCAAGACGGTGTTCCTTGCCCCTCCAGGCCCGCTGGCTGCAGGTACCTCTCGCTTGGTCGATTCGGATCGACTGCGAGCACTGGCAGCCCGCATCAAGGCCAAGGAGGAGGCATCCAGGCGATAGCCGATGATGACGATGACGTTCTGCCAATGGGTCGTCCCGTCGTACTCCTACTCCTACTCCAACTCCAACTTCTACTTTTACTTATCCTCCTCCTCCTCCTCCTCCCCATCATCGTCCTCCTTTTCCTCCTCCTCCTCCTCCTCCTCCTCTCCTCCTCCTCCTCCTCCTCCTCCTCCTCCTCCCTCCTCTCCTCCTCCTCCTCCTCCTCCTCCTCCTCCTCCTCCTCCTCCTCCTCCTCCTCCTCCTCCTCCCCCTCCCCCTCCTCCTCCTCCTCCTTCTCCTCCTCCTTCACTCAGCGTGTAGCCGAACCGTGGCTGAGTCCCAGACGGCGCCATCGCGAACTTAAGCGTGACCAGGGGTCGGGAGTGGGAGGTTGGGAGCCAGTCATGGACACTGTCGCGAGGAATCACAGCACTGGTTCAAGGAAACCCAGAGCTCCGACGATCGGATTTGTCAAATCCCGCTGCTTCTCCTCGATTCCGGCATCTCGGGGCCCAGGCCCGGGGGCCATCGCAAGGGGAACCGGGACGAAGAGCTATCCTAAGTGGAGGGGTCGTGAGTTCTGGGTCATGCTGGCGGATGCTCGGCAACGAAGTAGACGCGGATTTTCCGAGGAGGAGGAGGAGGACGAGGAGGAGGAGGAGGGGGAGGAGGAGGAGGAGGAGGAGGAGGAGGAGGAGGAGGGAGGGATGATGATGAGGATGAGGAGGAGGAGGAGGAGGAGGAGGGAGGAGGAGAGAGGAGGAGGAGGAGGAGGAGGAGCAGGAGGAGCAGGAGGAGCAGGAGGAGCAGGAGGAGCAGGAGGAGCCTGCGGCCCTCGTGTGCCGATCCGAGGATCTCTCGGATCGGCACTGGGCTCCCCTTCCATCGCGTGCCGACCGCGCCAGGGGCGGCGCCGCCATGGGGGTCCGGCACCGATCCGCGGAACTCGCGCAGAGCTCCGGGAGTTTCATGTTCATGCCAAGGGGTCTCGGAGGAGGAGGAGGAAGAGGAGGAGGAGCAGGAGGAGGAGGAGGAAGAGGAGGAGGAGGAGGAGGAGGGAGGGCGGAGGAGGAGGAGGGAGGAGGAGGAGGAGAGGAGGAGGAAGAGGAGGAGGAGGAGGGCGGAGGAGGAGGAGGGAGGAGGAGGCGGAGGAGGAGGAGGAGGAGGAGCAGAGGAGGAGGAGGAGGAGGAAGAAGTGGAGGAGGAAGAGGAGGAGGAGGGCGGACGAGGAGGAGGGATGAGGAGGAGGAGGAAGAGGAGGAGGAGGCGGAGGAGGAGGGCGGAGGAGGAGGAGGGAGGAGGAGGAGGAGGAGGAGGAAGAGGAGGAGGAAGAGGAGGAGGAGGGCGGAGGAGGAGGAGGAGGGAGGAGGAGAAGGATGAGGAGGGGGAAGAGGAGCAGGAGGTGGGAGGTGGACTTGTGGCAGGTTTCTTGTGGACTGGCCTCTTTATGCTCAGAGGTGTTCGGCGTCTCGGAGCTGTTCTTCTTGCCCTCCTACATAGACTCGGCGAGGCTGTCCGACGTGGGAAGATTCCGGGCGGTCCTTGGCCCTGGCACGATGCCCCTGCTCACAGCCTTCTTCGACGTCGGCGTGACGGCGCAGAAGCTGCCACCGCTCGAAGAGGTTCGGGGTTGGACAGACCTCCCACCCTGACACGTCGATTAAGGAATTGGCCGTTTTCGGTTCGCGAGAGGGCGTCTCTCATTTTTGCGGGTCCAGGTCCGTCGATTTCGGTCCCAGGCGGTTTTCACTAAGGGGAGGTCTACTGAAGGGAGGTTTGTTCACCGCCGAGAGGTGAGAAGATCACTCCAATTGCGCGAGAGCGGCTTCCGCCTGGCATCCAATCTTCAGCTTGGCCGCTGCTACGTGCTCCAAGGCTCGAAGGAGGACGAGATGCTTGGCATCGCTCGGCCGTGTGCACTTTTTCCCGGCGAGAACCATCGAGGACCATCCTGGATCATCGAGCAAAAAAAACACGCACGAAACCGAACCATGCACGGGAAACGGACGTCCGAGCGACGGCAGCGATGCCCAGGCCGCTGCTCGCCCCGGAGAGCCCTTTGCCGCCAGTGGCGACAGGGGCTCTCTCCACGGCTGGACTCTCCTCGGAGTCCCGTGGCGGCTCGCCGCGGCTGGATTCTCCTCGAGATCCCCGTCCTGAGCGCTCCCTGGGCGACCCTCCTGGCATCGCTCGGACGTGTGCATTTTTTTCTCGGCGAGAACCATCGAGGACCATCCTAGACCATCGAGCAAACAGAACGCGCACGAAACCGACAAATGCACGGGAATGCATGGGAAATGGACGTCCGAGCGACGGCAAGCCCTGGGAGCAGCCGTACCGGTACCTTTTGAACCCCTCAAGAGGCACCCTGGCTGCAGGCACGTCTCCAGCGGAGCTGCTGGACAGGAGCCAGGAGTCGTTGGACAGCTCGTTCGGCACAGGCGCGCTGACGGCCATGATCCAGCGAGAGAGGTGCGAGGGGCCCCAGGGAACAGATGCAAATTCCTCGAGGAGTGTCAAGACATGCCTTGTTTCCCGGATTTTCCTGTTCCCCTGCATCTCCAACAGTTCGCCAGATCTGACTGGGAGTCCGCGTTTTGTTTGTTTGGTTGTTTGGTTGTTTGTTCGGTTGCTTGTTTGTTGATTGGTTTATTTGTTTATTTGTTTGTGTGGTGTGTTTTTTGGGGGTGGGGTCAGAGGTGCGAGGTGACCCCCGCGCTGAACTTTGTGCCCGTCAAGGGAGTCTTCCAGCCCGGGGCCGTCCAGGCGGCGGAGGACGAGGAGCCTCTGCTGCTGCTCGTGTTCATGACTGACGACTTGCCCATACCGCCTGAAGAGGATCTCGGAGGAGGAAAGGGTTCCCATACCACTACCCTTCGCCCGTTTCCCCCTTTGTTCGCCCTCCTGGGAGGCCCTCGTCGCCACCCTGGGATTCGCCTCGAAATTCTGGTCAGAACGCACCCAGGGAGAGGTCCAGGGAGTCGCGGTATTTCGGGGGCGGAAAAGAGGGGGGTGATGACTAGGGGGGGTGGATATCATGGCGTGGGCCATGATATTTCCCCAGATTTCACGGCGCCTCTTCTTATTCCATTACGTCCCTGGCCCCCCCGCTGGGCTGCGCACATGCCGTCGGTCTTGATTTGCACCCCCCTCTTGGACACCCCCGTCTTGGCCGCTCCCGAGTATTGGTACCTTTCGATTTCCCCAGGATCGGGAGCAATGTTAGGAACCGGCTGACGGGGGCAAACATCGAGCTGGAATCGGCGATGCGTCTCCGATGCATCGGCAAGGTGGGCCCCCGATGGCGAGGCCGCACCTTCCTGGGTGGGGTGGGCGACCTGGCTCTTGCATTATCGGCGGTGGGTCGCCAATTACAGCTCGATGTTTCCCCACCGAGCCTCCTCCTCCGCCTCCTCCTCCTCCTCTGCCTCCTCCTCCTCCTCTGCCTGCGCCTCGTCCTCTTCCTCCTCCTCCTCCTCCTCCTCCTCCTCCTCCTCGTCCTCTTCTGGAGGGGGCAAGCATCCCCGCCCCCGCTGGATCCGCTGGGGGAGTTGGGCACGTGCTGTCGGAACGGGTGGGAGGGGGGTTAGAGGAGGTGGAGGAGGAGGAGGAGGAGGAGGAGGAGGAGGAGGATGAGGAAGAGGAGGAGGAGGAGGAGGAGGAGGAGGAGGAGGAGGTGGAGGAGGAGGAGGAGGAGGGGGGGGGATGGGCAAGCTCCGTCGGACGGTTAGTCGCCCACCCCTCGATTAATATCCCACACAGGGTATCCCCCTCCCACCCCACGCTTTCCCTCAGAGGAGGAGCTGACCGACCGCCTCCTGGCGGCCTCGTCCCTGCTCGCCTGCGCCGGTCTCGCCAACACGCTGGCATTCGCCGTCAACTACGCCCACGAGTTCGGGCCCAGCGCCCTCCCCGCCGAGCAGCTCGGCTCGGGGTACGTCTCGGTGACCAAGTACATCTCGATGATCCGCAGGACGCGTGTTGATCAGCCCACCGTGTGTCTCTCCGGTGCAGCTCCACCGACAACACGCAGCCTGTGTCTGGCCCTCCCTGCACCAGCTGCATGGTATCGGAGGGCTTCGGTGGACAAGCACACGATTCACCGAGCGCGTTCCACTGCTCGCAAAGCGCCTACGCACTCGCAAACGTCCGAACAAAAAGCGGAACAGAAGCGCGTGCCTGCCTCGATGTGCTGTATCGCAAATCCCCCTGGCGGACCCAGGCCATTTGCGAGCAGTGACTTTGCGAGTAGTGGAACGCGTTTGTCTCACCAGGGGAACGAGCAATGACACAAGCATAATAACTCGGAGGTCCGCTCGGATTTCTCGGGTCGGCCTTCGACCCACCCTACCTGGCGCGCTCCGCGCGCCAGGGGCAGCGCTGGAGGCGCCGCCAGGGGGCCCCAGCGCCGATCCGAGAAGTCCGCGCGGACCTCCGAGTTATTATGTTGATGCCATCCTCCGTTCCCTTTGCGACACGCTGGCGCTCGCACACGTTCTGGGGATCATCGGGCCTCGGCGCGTCCACCCTCGACACCGCCGCCGTGCTGCCCGTCGGCCTGGGGCTGCTCCTCGCCGCCCTCGCCCAGGGCCTGGCCCGCGGGGCCGCCGCGGCTCGGCGCGGGGCCGAGGTGCGCGACGGGTGGTACATCTCGGCGGCGCGCCCCCGGGGGGGGGGGGGGGCGGGGGGGCACGGCCTCGGAGGCCCACAGCCGGGGGGCACACGCCGAGAAGCACCCTGCTTGCCTCCAGGGTGCCCTGCATGGGTGTCTTGGGCTTCGCTGGTTTCGCGATGGCAAGCGTAGCGTTCCCACGCCAAAGATCCATGGACGTGGTCGGGCCCCCACTGCAGAGGTTGACACCAACACCAATATCGGCGGTGTGCCTCCTCCGATGGAAGGTGATCCCGACCTCGGTGATGGTGGTAGTATTCGGGCTTCCTGGGTGGCCGAAAGACTTCCACCAGGCCCGAAATCTAGGATCATCGTCCCGCTGTGGAGGCAAACCCCCTGTGCTGGTGTCGGTGCCCATTCCCAAGCCCCAACTGTCGGACCGAGGTTTCAGATCGAGGTCGGTGCGGAGAGGGGACCCTAGTTTTCTTCGTGTCTGTTGGATGTTCTCGCACATCCTGGAAAGGGTCTATCTTCGGAGGAGCAAAAGCGGGGGATTTGCGCTTTTGCTCTTGGATCTGCGCTGGGGCCTCCTGGCGGCGCCGCCCCTGCCGCGCTCCGCGCCCCAGGAAGGGGGGTCCAGCCCAGATCCAAGAAAGCGGCGCGGGCTGTCAAACGTTTATGCTTCTGCTTTTGCTGTGCCTCCATCTCTGGGCCTCGGGGGGAGGTGGGGTCGAAGGATCGCGCGCCGCCTCGCCGATGCCCCGCCGATGCGGCCCGATGTGGAGCCACGACTTCTCCACGCCGATGGCGCCGGGGCATCGGCGCTGCGGCGCGACCCCCCGACCCCATCTACTCGGATCCCATCCAGGGTTAAGTCGGGCCTGTCCCCCTACAGGAGGATTTTCGACGAAAAATAAAACATACCCCAAAAATAGTCAAAAAATAATGCAAAAACAGTCAGGGGGCTTCGTTTTTGGGTATCTTTTGAGCCTGTTGGGATATTTTTGGTGTATTTGTTTAAACTATTTTTCGCCGAAGATCCCCCTGTAGGGGGACACGCCCGACATAAATCCAGGGCGCCTCAAGGTCGGAGAAGGAAGAACGGCACAGACACACACTCTCCGAGCTCCGCGCGGAGTTCCTGGATCGGCGCGGCGGAGCCCCCCTGGCGTCGCCTCCCGGCGCCGTCTCTGGTGCGCTCCATGCGGCCCATCACCGATCCAAGAAGCCCGCGCAGACCTCCGGACGCTACTGTTAGTTCGGACGTGTCCCTCTACAGAGGGAACGTTCCCAGATTGTCAAGAAAGAGTCTGGGGACGATTTTCTGACTACTATTGCATATGTCTGACCATGTCTGATCTTTCGCCTGAAGACCGCCTGTGCGAGGACATGCCCGACCCAACGCCAACGTTTGTGTGGCTGTTTGCTCCTCTGGAGGGACCAGGCCTCCTCAGGAGCCGGCGGGGCTTCTCAGGGCCCCCCCCCCCCCTGTGGCATCGGAGGCGCGTCCGAGACGGCGTCTCGGCAGGCCGGAGGCACGCGCGGAGCCTAATTTTGGGAGCCGCCCCGCCCGCCCTGCCCCGCCCCGCGCCCTGGGCGCGCCGCCGGACTTCCCGTCCCTCGTCCTCGGCACGATCGGCTCCACGTGGTCCTTCCGCGGCCTGGCCCCGTCGCGGAGGGCCGAGGCTAGGGGGCCAGGAAGCGAACCCTGCCCCTGCCCCCCACGATTTCTGAGGAGGAGGGTGTGGTTCACTCCGTTCGGGAGCTCCCGAGCGGAGTGAGCCCCACCCTCCCCCTCAGAAATCGTGGGGGGCAGGGGCAGGGTTCGCTTCCTGGCCCCCGAGAGGTGGAGACGGCGCTGGCGGGCGCGCTGGCGGGGTGGCTCTGCGGCGCGCTGCTGCTCGCCGCGGGGGCGCTGCGCGGCAGCGCCACCCTCGCGGTGGAGCCCACGCGCCTGCCGCTGCTGCTGGTGCGGGCGCTGGGGCAGGACTACCCCGCGGACCAGGCCCGGACCGTGCTCGCGCTCGGCAGCGACGGCTCCGGCGTCGGCGCCCCGGGGAGGGGCAGAGCTGATTGTGCCGCTGCCGCGGCCCGCCCTCTGCGCGCGGCGGGGGTACTTATAAGTACTTATGCAGTTACGCCAATTATAAGTAGCTCCTAAGTCGCTCGTAAGTAGCTGATAAGTAGTGTAAGTAGCTCGTAAGTAGCTCATAAGTAGTGTAAGTAGCTCATATGTAGCTAAGTTACTTAGGAGCTACTTATAAGTAGGGCAGCCTACTTATAAGTAGCGTAAGTACTTATAAGTACTTTGGCCTACTTATAAGTACTTACGGCCTACTTATATAAGTAGCGTAAGTTACTTACGAGCTACTTATGTAAGTGGCGTAAGTGCCACATAAGTGGCGCGTAAGTGCCACATAAGTGGCGCGTAAGTGCCACATAACTGCAGTTACGCAAACTAACGCCATGTATGGGCATGCATTTTCAATCAATATATATATATATAACAGCGCGCGCGCTGAACAGGACGCCCAAAACACTTGTGACGCCAATGTCGTCAACCCTAAACCCTAAGAGAACCTTGGTGCCCGATCTGGAATATTGCGCGGGCGCCGTGGGAGGCATGCTGCGAAATCAATAGTTGTTTCATGCATTTGAGCTGCCGCTGGCCCAGACAAAGGTTTCAGGCACCCTTGCAAGCTTGCGTTCAGCGCAGCCCCCGCCTTGCGTTTCGCGCATTGCAGTTGGGCCATGGCGGGTGAGACCATGCAGGCTCGCGTGGAGCGCGTCCAGGAGCAGATCTTCGACATCATCAAGGAGTACACGTTGAGCCATTGCCCCCCGATTCTCCAGTTGCGCGACCAGGCGGTGCGATTGTTGCGGAAGGAGGGTCTGCTGAGGCGCCAGAAAACGAATGGGCGCTACGTGGCCGTGCACCCGCGGAACAGGTACAGCGATGGCATAATTCCATCCCACGTGCGCACGCTGGTGCGCAGTTTTTGCAGCGACGGGTTCAGCATGGATGAGGTGGGCGTGCCCTTTGCCATCGAGATGCCACCCCATCTCACGAGCGCCACGCCGAGGCACTCGAGTTCAACGGAGACCTTGTCAAGGAATCCCACGGCTTCTTGCCGCCATACGACGAGGGCGAGATCAAAATCCTTAGCGTGAGCTAGTCGCACACGACCCAGGCGACCCGCTGCATTCAGTTTGGCAGCCCTACAGATTCAGATAACGTCGAGTTCGGTACCGACGGGAAGCTTGACATCCACAAGATCGGGTTGAAGCGCCCACGTTGGCAGATGCTGCGAAGGAGGGGTTTGAATGGGACGTGCTTGTCTGGCAGGCTGAAGACGCATTCGGCGCCATTATAGACTTGCTCCAGGACCCGCTTAAGTTTTTGTGAAATCGATGGCCCACCCTTTAACTTTTCGATTGCCCCCGCCCCCGCCCCCCCCCCCGCATTTATGTTGGCTTTAGCCGCGTTCAATCAGGAGTCTGGAAATGCTGCGCAGAAGGTTTCCATGAATGAGACTAGGTGGGAGACCTTGTTCAAGATGCACGGGGACGTGCAGAAGATCGTCACCAACTTCGAAGCAAATAAAAAGGAGGGCGACATCTTGGACCCCGACGTCGCGTGGGGTAGGGCAATAACAAAAGCGCAATCCAGAAATCCAGATTTCGTTTCAGAGATCCAGAGTTTGGCGACGTTTGCGAGGAAGCTCGCTGGTGGACCAGACGCACCGAATTTGAAGGAGATTCGGGCTTTCAACCGTTCGTGCCAGAAGCCGCGCATTGTGCAGGGCCCCGTCTTGGCGGCGGTGGCTGATGCAGTGATCGGCTCGGATGGTTTGGGCTGCATTCCCTTCCGCATTGATTGCGTAAAGGCTATGATGAGCGCCGACAGCAAGTATGCATCGGGCGACTTTCAGAACCTCTTTGCATCGGGTGACTTCGGGCTTAAGCTCACGAGTAACAAGGAAGTGCAGCGCATGATCTCGCAGGCAGACATCATGAAATCGATGGCTATAGACATCGCAAAAACTGCCAACCTGTCAGAAGACAACGCGGCCGTGAAGACGTTGATCAACAGGTTCGGCATGAGGCTCGTGCACCATTGCATGAAGAAGCCCGACCCCAGGAGCCAAAAGTTCGTGTCGCTTCACCACATCGGCTACGAGTACGTGCAAGACCTGGCTACCATTGCAGGCACGCAGATCACATCCCCGTGGGCGAAGAAAGGAGCCCCGCCCACAGCTCCCGCGCAGCAAGCTGCGGCTTCTGCACAAGTGCAGAGCGTAGGCGGAATCGCCGACAGGATGCACAAATTGGCAAGTATGGGCGTGAGCGCCAATTGCCACATCGAGGTCATCAAGATGAAAACTGTATACACGGTGCA